TCTTCTGCAAGATTTCCACTCTTTGCTCCGATGACAGATCCCGCACTGTTGAAATATATTGTGCAGCAAGACTATCTATTTCTGCTTTCTTGTCTGAAGAATAATGAGAAACAGTATAAGTATAAAACTGAAACTGCAATCCAAACTTTATCATACCGAAAAGCCTAAAAAAATTTAATGAGGATTTTGTTTAAATAGAGAACTAAGAAATTGTGTTTTCATGCTGCAGTTAGCTCATTTACTAGGGAATGTTTTACTGATCACATTGGCATTTAGTTTCACATAAACACAATAAGTATCTAATTGTATTTTATAACTGAAATGTTTCAAGAACCATACAAAACAAAACCTATTTCTCATTTTAAATACAAATGTGTTTATTTTAAAATATAGGATGGAAATTCCAAACCTGACATGTGTTTAAAAGTCTTTAGTACAGCAATTTCTAAAATTTCAGTACCTCAATCTCCAATGAATTTACTTCATCCACTAACTCACTGGCAGCCATTTCTTTACCACAAAATCCTTAAGCATACTACCAGATGTATGGTGTATTTACTGAATATCTCATATGTGATTTGGGATGCTAGCTAGTATTAGAAGAGAGCTAAACAAAATATCTCACTCTGCCTCCAGAAATCAGCTAGTTAGAGAAAGAGAGTGGTGTATTATTTGACTCTCTTGAATGTAAATGGCTGGTATAATAATTTTGAGGATCAAAACATTAAATTTCTGCTGGTGGAAGGAAACATCCCTTTGTATTCAGTCCTCTGAAATAGTTTGATTTAAACATGTTTTCCAACAATATCTCATAAATTCAAATGCATAACTTATTTCCCATATGCAAGCAGAGAACCAAAGTTAAAGAAATGGGCTACTTCTAATATCATACTGTTTGTCTATGGAGATTCTCAGTCATCCAGGTCATGGTTGTCCCAAAGGTGCTTTTTCAAGAGGCAACTGGCACACTTTAACCCCAAGAATGCTGGGAATATAAATCCTTCCAATCCCCACAATCTAGTCAGAGCTGAAGAAGCTTCTTGGACGAGAAGCAAAACATTTTCAAAGAAAAACAAGGAAGTCCATTTGCCTCTTGTCCTTTGGGAAATTGTACTGTTTGTCCTTTAAAACATTTGTCATATACAAAAATAAAATATTAAATAATTTGATTATCACTAATTATTTTCAAGATGTAGAAAATAATCTTAATTGTTTGACTTTTATTTTAAATATGTATGACGAATCCTTAAACTTGTCTTCTCAGATCTGTCTAAATTTAATACCAGGTATACATTACATCAAAAATGGAAAACCTTTCTTTCTGTTAAAGGCTATATTGCTTTAGGGTCAACATGAGAAATACATTGCTTTGAGAGTAACATGAGAGATACAGCTAAAATAAACAGTGAATGGGGCTCGCACCAAAAGTACATAGTCATTTTTTTCCTAATGCCTCTTTTTTCTTTCATTCTCTTTCTGTTGCTCTTTCAACTCTCTTCCACGGATAAAGTATAGGAGAGGATATGAATCACTTACCATGATTCTGAACTGATCTCTTGCAAAGGGCTTTTTAAATTAGACCAAAGGCTACATGTGATCCTAGAACAATAGGTTGTATTCCTGCATTATCTGAAAAAGATCTGAGAGTTAATATATTTGAATATACCTTCTGTTCTCTGATCCAGTTCGCGCATAAGTTGGAAGTTTCTCTGTAATTCACAGGGCAGGTTTTCAATGCCTGAAAAAGATATAGAACAGTGGTTCTCAATGTTTGTGTGACGGCGACCCCTGCCACACAAACGTTCTGCGCATGCGCGCCCCCACGTGCGGCGCGCATGTGTGGCGCCGCCCCCACGCGTGGCGCGCATGCGCGGCGCCACCCCCACGCGTGGCACGCATGCGCGGCGCCACCCCGAGGGGAGAAAATGGCGGATCGCCTTCTTTGGCGACCCCCGAAAAATGGTCGATCGACCCCAAATGGGGTCGCGACCCACAGGTTGAGAACCGCTGATATAGAAAGACTGAATTATTTTCATACCACAAATCTTTTCAAATTAAATTTCTAACCACAAAAAGTTTGTAACTATCATGATGATTTCTTCCCACCATACCTCATTTCCATCCTTCTTGGTCTCATAGGTCCCAGTGCTTAAGGTTGGAAAACAAACATTGCTAGAGCCTAAGATACTTTAAAATCTCCAAATGAGACTTAAAAGTCTTAATTGTGGCTCATAAACATAGCTCACTTCATTAGTTCTGTTCACTAACATTCTTGCTGTCTCTGAATGTTCTGTTATCAGAAAATATTAGCAGAAATAAAGCAGAAAAGCTAAAGTTGCAGAGATGTCACCATGCAATTTCCCTGTTTTCTACCAATATTATGGATAATGGCAGAAGATATTGCTGAGAATTCTTTCACCAACTTTACTTCTATCACCAGCATTTATAATACATTTTTGGCACAGAAGGGTATACCCTTTCCATTATGAATTTTTTTTTCCATACATATGGTATCTCTGACACTTCACATTCTAATCCTATGGACCCTTTATCAATGTTGTTAGGCATCTGAGAGAATTCCTTATCCTCACAGCGGTCCTTCCATCTCACCAGCTTGTTACTGAGCAAGGGGGTTTGCAGGCGGTCTTCTACTGGAAAATGCATTAAAATGTTCTATGTGAACACTCCCTGTTACACTGAAGAGGAGTATGAGAGAGATCAGTAACATGCAATACTCCAATTAGTCTGCTGCAAGACTATTCATCCCATCCAGCCATGGGAGTTTGTTATTTCCTAGTCATTTCTGTTCTGGCTGCTGAAGAGAAAAAAATATATCAATGTTCCTTCCTTCCTTCCTTCCTTCCTTCCTTCCTTCCTTCCTTCCTTCCTCTTGTAATTAAACTATTGATCACTAATCTTTTCTAGTGCAATAATTCAGTAGATGTGTGGATAAGCCTAACATGGGGGGCAGACCAGATCTCAACTCAATTCAATCTTTATACAGGTAATCCTCGATTTATGGCCACAACTGAGCCCAACATTTATGTTGCTAAGTGAAACATTTGTTAATTGAGTTTTGCCCTTTTACGACCTTTCTTGCCACAATTGCTAAGTGAACCACTGCAGTTGTTAATTAAGTAACATGGTTGTTAAGTGAATCTGGTTTCCTCAATGACTTTGCTTGTCAGGTTACAAAAGGGGATCACATGACCCTGGGATGCTGCACCCGTCATAAATATGAACCAGTTGCCAAGCATCTGAATTTTGATCCTGTGACTACAGCGATGCTGCATTGTTATAAGTGTTAAAAGCAGTCACAAGTCCCTTTTTTCAGCATCGTTGTAACTTTGAATGGTCACTAAATGAACTATTGTAAGTCGAGGGCTACCTGTAGATGGTGAGAGGGATAGCTCAATAGTTTCAAGAGCAAAATCTGTAAAGATGGTTCGCTTTTCCTCTTGCAAGTGTTTTAAACTAACTGTTTTAAGTAACTGTGCAGACCTGCAGCGAGGCATAAAAAGGAAGTACTTTCACGGCCACGAGATTGTTCAAAGAGAAGATGGGGTCTGTTGTACACGGGGCAGTCAGCCGGGAAAATGCTTCAGGTTTAAAAAAGACGAGGAGAATGTTTCTCTAACAAGCTTACAGGTGGCATTGATGGCGAGGAGCGCGGAAGCGGCCCCTACCGGCGAAGACCATCAACTACAACCCCAGACCCGACTGAATGTCTTTTTCCGCTCGCAGTTAAGAGGTGTGACGCAGCAAAAATACCCCGCCGGTTAGTTCCTCTCTCGCCCCCCCCCCCCGGCACAAACACATATCGGGGCTATGATGCAGCTGCAACAGCCGGCAAGACCACGCGGCGCTTCAACCCTTCCCCCAACGCCGCACTCACTCACTGTCCAGGTAGTGCTCCAAATACAAGGCCGCTGCCGCCATCTCGAGACAGCCAACCGCCAACCAACCGGCCGACGCCCACCTTTCAGCCGTCGCGCGCTCGGCGCTGTCACCCTAGCGCCTTTGCAATGGCCGGCCAAGCTTTCATCGCATAATCATGAGACGCCGCCACCGATTGGTCGCGCCGCCACCGTGCCGCCTATCAATGAGAGGGCGGTGACGAGGACTGGAACGCCGGAGCCGTCCGGCCACTGGTTCTCCCCCAGCGGGCGAAGTTGGCTGGATGCTAGAAAGTTTGCAGCAGATGGCCCGGGGCGCGCCTGCCAGGAAACAGCACCTCCTTAAAGTCTTTGCTTAATATCAAATGCAGCTTGGATGACTATAGTGTTCTCGGCTCGAAGACTTTGACTAATGTTTCATGCTTCTTTGACGAATTCATTCGTATTTGTTTTTCAAAGTAAAGGGAGTTCTTCCTTGTCCTATTCTACCCAGTACCCTTTCTCTAAGACACACCCAAGAGATAGAAATGAACTTAAAACGGATTGCGAACTGCTTATCCCGTTTGTCAACCCGTGGAATGAAAATAGATATTTTCACAACAGATAAAGCAAAGCGTGCTACTTGGGAGGGTTCTTTTCCAATGAAATGGAGGGGGGGGGAGTTGAAAGTGGTGCTTTATTTTTCATGGTGAACCTGCAAAAATGGTTTGAAAAGATCCAGGTAGAAGTCCATCCAATTACCCGCTTGCTTCGTTGAAGCCAGCCACTTTCGTACCAGGATCGTTGTGGGGATAAATGAGGGAGTGCCACGTGCTCAGCCTTCAGCATCCGAAGCAGAGGTTTGGCATACGTAAGGATGAATAAAATTCCTCGGAAATACAGCCAAATGAGCTTGGGACGTTCTCTCACTAAATAAATATATTGCGTATGAGAGTGTTCTACGATCGCTTCTTCCATTGTCATGAAAGGGTTACCACCATCAATCCCGTATTTTTAAAAATAATTTCTAAAACCTTCCTCTCAGCACATGCAGTTCCCAGCTTCCAGTTCCCCCTACAAACTGATCAGCGACTGTTTACACTGTATAGAATTTTCTACAAGATGGCCCCAAAAGACTTGGCGGTAGGTTTAGAGTTAATATTAGCGAGCCTAGAGAAGCGACGAAGCACTGGACGACCGGTTTCCGCTCTCACGCCTTTCATTAATTCGTAGTTCTTTTTAGTACTCAAGAAAAAATTCGTTCCCCGCCCCTTCCTGGATCACACTTTTTTCTTGGGAATTAACGAGTTTTTCTAGGGCCTCGTGAAAAAAAAAAAAGGTTCGCGCGCGAGCTATGCTTCCGCTTTCACCTTTTCAGCGATAGTAGAGCCGCTCTGCACGCCGGAAGAATCATTTTTATGACTGTCGAGCGCGGGAGTTGAAAATTCGGTGATCTTTTTTTCTTTCTTTCTCTCGGATAGAGACTGGAAGGGTTTATCAATGGCGGGCCGACGAGGAGCTTTGATTGTTCTGGAGGGTGTTGATCGAGCAGGCAAAAGCACACAGAGCCGAAGGCTGGTGGAGGCTCTCTGGGCAGGAGGGCACAAGGCCGAACTTCTTAGGTTTCCCGGTAAGTGGAATGCAGACCTCGGAGTGGGTACACAATGCAGGAATGGCGTCGCCCCAATTTCGTTAGAGAAAAATGATCTTAATAGAATGTCGCAGAGCAGATTGAAACTCAATGGATACAGCCTTTCAGAACCAGACAACTAGGGTTTAGATGACATCGTTGAATTTATTTTTATTTAGCAATAAAATTATAGCAAAAGAAAGAAATGATAACACTAAAAGAGTTTTGCCATGGTGCTATTGATAGGGGAAGTGTTGTGCACTGTCTGTGGTTTGTTATAATCTGTGATTAATCTATAGTTAATAAATGCTCAAAAGTAATCCTGTCCTATGCTTCTTTAAACTCCTCTTGTATTGAAATATGTGGAACCCCCATTTTCAGCAGCTGGTTCTATACAGAATATGTTTACATTTAATCATGTTCAGCATACTAGTGAAATTTTAAGCTATTTATTTATTTATTTATTTATTTATGAGACTTATATACCGCTTTTAAGTGCAAGCACTCTCTAAGCGGTGTACACCAGTAAGCAATGTATATATATATTTACATTGCCCCCAACAATCTGGGTCCTCATTTTACCTACCTCGGAAGGATGGAAGGCTGAGTCAACCTTGAGCCGGTGAGATTTGAACCGCTGACCTGCCGAACACAGTCAGCTAAAGTGGCCTGCAGTAATGTTTCATTTATTTCCACTGCAAATTATTTGGTACTTTGGTACTCATTGTTAATTGGTTCCAGGAATCGCAATGAGTACCAAAAGCAATGACTACCAAATTTTTCCCATAAAGAAACAAACAAGTTTTAGTTTGTGCATTGACTACCAAACAAACAATGAGTACTGGGACAAAATTTTCACGTCAAAATGCGTTGACTACAAAATTCGATAAGTTTCAAAGCAATTGAGTATCAAGGCACCACTGTACGTACAGTATTTCACTAAACTAATTCTCCATTAGGATCTTGTTTGCATGTTTACTTGTGTTATGGCAATAAAGAGGAAAAAAGCATATACAGCTTTATTTCTTACATTTCAAGACATGAAGTATAACTAACATGCAGTCCTAGTCATAGTCTTTGTATGTACTTATCAGTACTTTAATTGTATATTGAAATCATGCCATACTTTTTAACTGAATTTTGAGAGAAATGAAAATTATTAGATAAAGCAGTTGCATTTTATTTCAAAAGTGCATGTTTAAAAGAGAAAGAATTTGCGGACACTGAGGAAGTCTGTTATATTTCATTTTTTCCTATTTGTTTATTACAGAAAGGTCAACAGAAACTGGACAGCTAATAAGTTCTTACTTGGAAAAGAAAAACAACTTGGAGGACCACACAGTGCATCTACTGTTTTCTGCTAATCGTTGGGAGCAAGTGTAAAATAATTTTTTGTCTAGTACTAGGGGGTCCAAATAATTCTCATTAAATCCGATTTGATTTCATATTTTACTTCGGAAAAATTGCGAATGTATGACTTTCAAATATTGTCCCAAAGGTGCTTTTTCAAGAGGCAACTGGAGTTTCTGGTTTTTCTTTGAAGACGTTTTGCTTCTCATCCAAGAAACTTCTCTAGCTCTGCCTGGATGGTGGGGAATGGAAGGATTTGTATTCATTGCAGACAGCTGATCATTTGTGTTTCAAATATTGTGTTAAGTTGCAGTCGTATGGTCTGTGTAAAACAGGGGTGTCAAACTTCCGGCCCACGGGCCAGACGCATCACATGGAAGCCGTGCCCACCCCATTGCCGGCAATGGCAAAACCGTCCCAATACGTCGCAAGTTTGACATGCCTGGTGTAGAATGTCCCAAGATTCAAAATATTTTTTAGGTGCCCTTCTCAGGTTGAAGAGGCAGCTCTGATTTCAAAGAAGGAAATTGGACATAAAGTTCCTTCTTCCTAGAACATTCAAAACAACAGTAGTTCTTTTTAGAAAAAGATGAAAGGAATTTGAGGTTGGAATTTGATTATTGATATCAACCACTTGTTACTATAAACTAGCATGTAATTCAATTAGCAGAATTATTTCAAACGGTTAAGCATTATTTCTGCTTAAAAAGCAGAGTGACTTTTCTTATTTCAGAATTATGGTAAAGAAATGCTGATAGAATATTTGAAATAAAGAAATGTTATAGAATAATGAAGCAGGTACAAACTAACACGAGAAGTTTAAATTATATTGCTCCAAAAGTTTTTTTAAAATTAGATTCTAACACCCAATTAAACCTGGTACAGGTATGTACAGAATGCCATGGTAATGTAAAGAGAAGGGGACAAAATCAACTTTGAATTATAACACTGTTCCATAGGTCATAAGATTGCAACTCACTGGTGCAGTATTATATAAACTTCTCCAAAGATTTGTACTGAAATTCTTGTAAAGACTGATCTCTTTTTGTACCTTTGAGACATGTTGACACCTGGAAACTACCTGGACTAGCCCTCGCAGTTTTCTTGGCAAGGTTTTTCTTGTGGTTTGCCATTGTCTCCTTCCTAAGGCTGAGAGAGAGTAATGGCCCAAGATCACCCAGCTGGTTTCATGCCTATGGTGGACTAGAATTTATGGTCTCTCAATTTCTGGTCTTAAAACTCTGCATCAAATTGACTCTTAAAAACATAATGTAGTTTTTGAGCTATAAGTAACAAAATGAAGGCACTGAAAACTATTAGCAAACACATTTTACTGTCCTTAAACTGCCCAAGTGCCAGTGATTATATATGCTAATTTATAATTATAATTTTGAAGTCCAATTTGGTATATTATTTTCATTATATCAAAAGATGTTACGAAGCAATGCAGTCTTAAAGTAATCTATATAAAGGAGAAGGACTGAAATCTCCCATTTTGCACCATTGCATTCTTCTGGAGTTCTTCCCTAAGATGTGTGAACAATAAGCCCTCCGCCACATACTAAATGAATAGTCATGGAATGCTATTATAGTAACTTAATCTAGTTTTTATTTTTGGTAAATAACGTGCAATTCTTTTGTTCAGGCCAGCTATTAAAGAAAAATTAAGCCAAGGTGTCACTCTAATAGTGGACAGATATGCCTTTTCTGGAGTAGCCTTCACAGGTGCAAAAGAAGTAAGTAAATCAGAAATGTACTAGCCTAGCATTGTATCAATTTTTTATTTTACCCCTTCTAGCAGATAGTTTATGTCAATTTTCTGCTTGCTGATAAGATTTTTTTTTAACATATTTTACAGTGTTGCAAAGTTTTGTTATTTAGTATAAAGGCTTTGGCAGGAAATCCATTTTAATATTTAAGATGGCTTGTTGTATATGCTTACCGTAAATGCCGGCGTATAAGATGACTTCCGCGAGCGCTGAAATCGGCGCCAATGACGGGGGTCGTCTTATACGCCGAGTCATCTTATACGCCGGAAATACTGGTAGTTTCCGGCATATAAGACGACGTTCTAGGAATGCGGCCCGGCTATAAAGACGGGGGTCGTCTTATATGCCGGGTCGCCTAATACGGCGGCATATACGGTATTTGTCTTTATTTTGACTCTTGTTTCTGCTTTATTTACTGCTAAAGACAGTTATAAAATTAAATTGAATAAATTTGCATAAAATTGAAACAGCCTATTTAAACTCCCTGGGAATGTAACATTTATCCAAATATATTGGGCTACTGTTCTCAAAAGCTCCAGTCTTAGTCAAATACCTAAATATTATGGGAATTTTAGCAGAATAGACAATATCCTTGGGGAAGGATAGTAGTTGATATCACACCTCGTACTGTATGTAAAGGTCTTATGTTCAAATATTTCTACAAGATATAAACTTACATGATACAAACTTATTGGCTGAGAACAAAGTATGGACAATAGTGCTTATTGGTTGAGAACTGAAAGTATGGACAATAGTGAACAAATAGATCAATAATTTATCTTCCTACAATCTTATCAAATAGTTTTGTTTTCTTTTAACTATTTACTATATCTCTTAATTCTCTCTGAACAGAACTTCTCTTTGGAATGGTGTAAGCAGCCAGATGTGGGGCTTCCAAAGCCAGATTTGATCCTTTTTCTTCAACTGAGCACATTGGAAGCAGCCAAACGAGGAGAATTTGGAAATGAACGCTATGAGGATACGTCTTTTCAGGAGAAAGTTCTACAGTGCTTTTACCATCTGATAAAAGATAAATCTTTAAATTGGAAGGTAAGAAATTAAATATAAAAAAAAACAATTAGAATTAGGTAGTAGTACTTTGGTTTTTAGTTAACCATAAGCTGTTGGTTGTTTTAACTTTATGACAAGAAGATGAAATGAGTCATTTCTCTCTAGCTGAAAAGCTGAATTTAGGGCATTCGTTCAATTACACATTTTTCTTAGTTGAATAATATTTTATTTCTGTATGTTTTATTTTTGAATATAGTTGATTGATGCTTCGAAGAATGTAGAAGATTTGCACAAAGAAATTAAATCCCTTGCAGAAGAGGCTATGCAAGAAGCTCAGCACAAACCTCTAGGAGAACTATGGAAATGAAATTTATTTAACTCCTAAAATCAGGGCTTACTTAATCAAATTCTGCAATATTTGCATTCACATATTCTGTGAGTCTGTGTGTCTGTGTATCTATATTTGAGAGGCCAAGCACGTTTCTTTTGCTAGTCTTTACTATTTATCAGTTCTATTTCTCTATAGACTGTGGAGTTTTAGAAGAGTGAAGCTTGTCCTTTCCTTAGAGAGCAGTTCTGCAGGGTCTCACACCTGGAAAAGAAATGCGTGAATGGGATACCTTCCACTTAGATAAGACTTGAAATGTTCCATAATATAATTTTACTATAAATATATTGAATGTAATCATGTGTATGAATGCATTAACTTTTTCTCACTACAGTAAGGTTTTATGTGTGTGTGGAGTAAAATAATTTCATTTGTAATATGTAGAGTATGTCTATCAATAAAATGTTTTCAAACATGCAGTGGGCATGTTTGGCTAATGACAATAACTTGAGGTACTAACTCTGTGTGCGCGTGAGAGAGAGAGAGAGATAAGGAAGTTGATGCCACTGTTGTAACAGCTTAAAATATGGTGCCTGTATGTATAGATGCTGGTAATAATCCTCCAAGCTGACACAGAGTCTTCCAGGCATTGTTGTAGGAAGAGAACCAAGTTAGTCTTTGGAAGACAGAATCTGGTAGCATCATTTTAAATTAGCATTTTATTGTATTGTATTTGAATTAAAGCAAAATAATAAACTTTTTTGTCCCAATTGATAAGATTTTTGTCAGGAATATCTACTGAAAGTTTGAAATAGATCAATTTTGGGAATAATATCTTAATTGCTGATACATGGCCTAAATTCTAATATAATTTCTGTTCCACTTTTTTATATTCTTTCTTATTTATAACAAGCAAAGCCATAATTATTATTGAATAGCTTATTTAAATTCTTTAATATGTTAATTCTTATATTTTATTTATTTTATATTTTATGTGATCGATTTTATGTTCAAAGAGAATTTCTAAAATACTGTACATAATTTTTCCTTACAAGGCTAAATATGAATGCTATTCATATACTATTATAGAATTTTAAAAATTGTCTGTTAGACTCAAGCAGATTCTTAAAGCATTTTATTAAATGAGTAAGAATATATTGCATTACAGATGATTGTAATAATCAGCAACTAGATTCAATTAATAATTTTCCCCTCTATTTTAATTCCTTGAATTTGATTATTTACACATAATGCAACCTCTGACATTTCAACAATTAAACAGAGATTAGTTATAGATTAAAGCAATAGCAATTAGTAAATTATCTTTAATGAACATGAATTTAAAAAAAAATCTTTAACACTGTCCTGTAAGTTTCTTGCAGCATAACAGTTGAGGTGAGAAATTACCTAATTATATAAATATATTGTATGTTTTCATTGTTTTCCCAAACCCCTAAGATTAAAACAAATAGGGTTAGAACTGTCACTCATAAAATACCTTTTTTACTATTTTTAATTTCCTGTATCCTATAAAATAAATCAAATTTTATATAGTCCTATTATAAATTTTATATGACTAGTACCAATAGTAAATCTGGTTCTTCATGCTTTTTCCCTTAAATTTACCTCGGCCTTACCCATAGTCTTTCCCTTCCAATAGTCCCTCTAGTTCTAGCTTTCATTTCCCCTTCCTATGTGACTTTGAGGTTCACAAGTTCAGCCACTTCCTGGTATAAGTTCTTTGTTGCTTTCCACACCATGAATTGAGTATTTACTGTTTCTTAACTATATTTTCATACTTCTTCCCATATAACTGCCTGCTTCTCTTCTAAATATTTATTTATCTCATGTAGTTACAACTTAATTCTAATAAAAGCTAATGTTTTAATACTGTACTAAGCATTCAGAAATTTAGAGTTCATTTTAATATTTTTTGCTTTTTTGATTTACTATCAGAATCTTCTATCATCTGGAATCTTTACAGGTAGTCTTCAACTGACAACCACAATGGAGTACAAAATTTCTATTGCTAAGCAAGACAGTTAAGTGAGTTGCCCCATTTCAATATTATGTTTAGATGGAAATCCCCAAATATATTGAATTCCTTTATCAATAGGTTTAAATTCAACTTTATTGTAAAGTAGTTTGGCTACAATCTTAATAAAACAAAGCTTTCGTTTCCTCTCAAGTTTATTTCTTTCAGCTTGGATGCTTCCTGAATATTTTCATTTCCAGTACATTCATTAAAACAAGTACTGTCCTTGATTGGTTGAATTTTGCGAGCCTGCAATTTTGAACTCTGTACTTCATGTAATGTACATCTGTGAAGAGATCATGAAGTTGTATTGCTATGTAATCCATCATATCATTGTAAGCTTTTTTGCTAGTTTCATTTGTTACAAACTTCAAAATTTGCTATTTTATTTTTTATTTATTTACTATTTTAACCTCAGTGATAGCTTGCTCAATCTTTACTATATATTACAGGCATTTTTAACACTTTGTTTATAAACTTTACTTGGTGAGTAATATCTAATATTTGCCAATTCTCTCAAACATATCTATTAAATCTTTTATTAAAATAAAGGACTTTCTCTATTCCAATTTCAAGCCCAATGTAAGGACCCACTTCAATCCCACATCTTAAGAAAGCAGAACTCTTGGAAACAATTTCTTCCAACAGGAACTTTTATTAAGAGTAGTTGATAGTAGGCATAATAGACAGGATCTGGGGGATTCTTTACAATACTTTAAAGGATCCCTAAACAAACTCTACCCCACAGTTCATCCAGACGGTTCAGACTGGCCAATTCCCAGGTGGTTAGTCCATCGTGGGAAAGGGAAGATAGCATCAGTCCGTCTCCCTTTGTAGTACATGTTCCACAGCTCTTCACACCTTATTTTGGGACCGGGAAATAAGCCAGGTTCTGGATGTTTAGACTTCTTTCCTCCCCTTTCCTCACTGCCCGGTTAGGGAGAAGAAAGTTCAGAGAGATGCATATTAAAGGGGGCAATTTGTTACATTGTAATAGCCTGCAGACCCAGCCGCAATAAACAAAAGGTTACATTGTAGCGAATAGAGGAAGTGAAAGTCATAACCCCGCAGGCATATCCCCCCTCCCCCTTGGGAGTATGGCAGAATCCAGGGGAAGGTGAGATTTGGTTTTAGATCAGAGTAGATAGAAAGAAATGAAATATAAATGGATTCTGACACCCGATTTGAATTCTTGAAAACAAATGCTTGAACTGAAATATTTTGAATGACTAGATGATTTAAGAGCTTGGTTTGCATTTCAGTTTCATTGCCCTCTATTGGAAGAGGATAGCTGATTCCTTGTTTTAGCTCTTTCATTTTTTGTTTTAATTCTTTTCAATTTTTTGCAAAGCACATGCAGAACGTTTTGTATTTGGAGGAATATTTCGTTCATTTAATCAGTTAATAGTTAAAAACTATTGAGTTGGACAAAGAGCAAGGTTTTCAGCATATAGTTTTCAATGGAGGTTAAACCACTTTCCCCAAGTTCTATAGAATTCTTAGGTAACTACGTTTGTTTTTAATTTTTGTTTGTGCGTTACTCCATTGTCTGTCTTGAAAATTCCTCAAAAAGAGTGATTTGATTATGAGATACTTTCAAATTAGCACTTGCACATGGAGTGAGTTGCTCTTATTTTTCTATACTCTTGTTGGTACTTTTTTATGAATTATATATATCTGGTTTACATTTAATGTGTTTAAATTATGTTTTCAAGTTTTAAATTGTTTGTAGTTTTTAGTTCTATGTTCTTCAAATTCAGTTATTTTTCCATCAGTTTTTTAATGCTTTTTAAAAGGAAATGCTTTAATACTGTATAATATAACTAACATTCGTTTAGAGCTGTATGTGTCAATCAGTTACTCAATCCTATATAATGTTTGTTATGTCTATGCACAAAATTTAATGAGGAAACCTAAGTACTATATTCTAGATTGGGAAAGGCTATATTACAATATTTAGAATGTGTATCGTTTTTTTAAATACATAATAGAACATTTATTAGAAAGTAACTCTATGATTCTCTTTTGTCTTATTTTCAATCAGTGGTGCAGAAAAATGTACCAGGAATACAAAAGCCTTTTTAAATTTGTTTTATTCAGATACAAATTGAAAGCAGTTGATGAATGAAACACAATCTGACTATGCTCTTCTTCCAAAAGGAGAAGCAAAGTAAGCTATAACAATGACAAATAAGCATCATGGTTCAAATCTGATTTCTAGTAGCTAAATAGGCAACAGGACCTACTATATGCAGTTACTTTATAGATGGCTATAGTACCATCTGTAGTTTGACAGTTCTGCTTATAAATGCTGGCAAGAATGCTTTGTAAACATATTTGCCACTGCAACATCCATTGATTGAGCTAATGCTTGGAACTGATGGGGTTCTTGCCCGCCATTCCTATCTTTTAGAAACAGAGGAACTTTTCTGCTATTTTGGAATATAATGGGCTGGAAATCCTGGCCAGAAAGGTAATGATTTAAGGGATGAAGAATTTGCTTTAACTTTCTTTAAAATTACATATTAAGAACTGAAACAAATGAAAAACAAATAAAGACACACAATAGAAATAGCTTTGTGTGGTACTTTCAAAAGGGGAGATGAGAACACACCTTTGGCCTGAAATCGTGATTTTAAAATAGCTGTTAACGCAAGATTTGTGCCCATGTACAGTCTAAATTTTATTAAAAGGAGGAATCGGAAGCACTTTTAATTTATCAGCTAATGGATGTTTTCACCTCATTTTATGAAATAGCAGCCATATTTTTAATACAAAATAGAAAAATATCCAAATAAAAATAACAAAGCAAAATCTGAGTTACACCATTCTGTTTGTGCATTTACTGTGAGAAAAGTAACTGTCAGAGCCTTCCCTATATTATCTACTGATGTTCTCTTGTCATCTTTAGAACATATTTTAACATGTTCTGTATGATATGCTCTTGTGATTGCTAGAATGTAGAACATTATATTTTAAAAAATAAATTGCAACTTTGAAACCAAAACCATGGAAGCACTGTATTGGAGAAAATCTAAAGTACAAGTTGGAATATTTGGTGCTGTCAATCTTGAGAGAGCTTGTGGCCCCAAATAATTCAGAATATGGCCAGCTGATTAGGGAGACATAATGCAGATACCTGTCTTACAGCTGTTATGCTGGTTTTCATTTCACACTATAAAAATGGGAACAGAAGTAACAAGACTCCCTAATAATAGAGAGAACTTAGGCCAAACACTCTGAAGAGCTTTTACTATTATAGTCAAGCCTTTGTGCCTGTTCCTGTTCCTATGAAAATAATTTCCAGCTCCTAGAAAACTTTGCATCCCTTTCCCATGGATATTCTTGCACTGAGAAAGTAACTAAAGCTATTAAGGCCTTAATGACGACCCGTTTCTTGATCCCACTGCAAAAATCCACTCTGCTCCAAGGTTGCACAGAATGCTGGGGTAAATGGGAGGCAAGGATGTCAACAAGCACCTATGAAAGCTGGTAGCCCTAGGCTCTCCAAGGAGCTCCCCTCCCCCACTCAACCCAAATTGGCAGTTATTGTAGTTTCTTTTGTTAAAGTGATAAGATTTCAAAATCTTCATCCTCTGAATCAAAGAATCTTTCCAATCTGTCTGCATCAGAAGAATCTACAAGACATGAATGCTTCAGTATTACACTTAGACTGTTCCCACAACACACTTAATCATAATTAAATATAAACCATGTGAAACATCAGCTGTGATGTGCCAGAATCTGAATAATAAAAACACTTTAAGTAATGCCAGAAAGTTTAACTATTATTTTTTAGCAAATTTGAACCCGGTCTATGGTAGTTCAGTTTGCATCAGCCACAGTACATAGGTAGCATGATAATTTAGCCTTATCTATTTTCAGAGGTTTTCACAGGGATAAAAAGTATCATACAACAAAAATCCTGCAAGAGCAGCTCTGCTTTGCAGGATTTAGAAGTAATTGTTTTATAAATCACTGCATTTTATGAAATAATAATAATGTAGTGAATAAAAAGGATGACTCCCAAGACGGAAGATTCCCCTCACCAAATGTGAGTCCAGGTGAAGAAGATTGTTTTGAGAAAATGCCTCAGACAGCCACCCTCCCCAGTTTTCATGAAAATAAAAGGGAGGGAACATTTCTTAAACCTGCAGGATTCTGTTACTATACCTGTTTCAATAAATTAACTTTAGATCTGAACAATGTCTGTTTGATAGTCCAGTCTATCTGAAACAGTTGACATTACAAGATCATAGTATGGAACTGCATGTAAAAACAATCTCAATATTTCTAAAGATCAAATATCAATTTTGAAAATTGGTACTATTTCTTAGGCAATGAAGAAACAAATGCTATCATAATTATTTATCTGGAATAAAAAAATATCTCCAAATATTAAAACTCTCTTTTATTCATACAGCATTCATTCCTTCTACAACCAAATAAATGAACATTACCTGGAGTGAGATTCAAGACATCAGGACTAGAGAAGTGTGAAGGCTGATGTTCTATTAGCTCAAACATGGGAAGGGCTCCTCTAATCAGTGACAACTGTTAGAAATGTATTAAAACCAGTTATACTTCTTTGCTATCTCTAGGAGTGTCAAGCATTTGATATAAATAATACATCTTCAATTTAGTTTCACGTACAGAACAGATTAATTTCTAGTCTTTATGATTGTAAAGACTTGCTTAAAAGGTGTGAATGCACAGCATACTGCAATACTCAAAAATGTTCTTCTGAAAAGTATAGTGGTTTTACATATTTGGTATAATTCCCTTCAGCTGCCAACAATAAAAAAGAACAACATAATAAAAGCACAAGAAAATATACTGTTTTTGAGAAAGTCCATGTTTTAAGCTAATTGGAGAATGTGATTTATGACAGCTTATTGGGGGTGGGAATTGCACTTTCTTACTTTGTATGGGGGGGAAGGGAATTTAGTTTTGGGTTTAGCTATGTAGCGCCGATACTTTGTTTCCCAAATAAAATGTTCTTTAAGGGAGAATTCTGCCTCAAAGTTCTTTTGATGGGTTTTATCTATCGGAACCATGACATGTGCATTTCTCCCTAATATGCACAGTTGCAAATGCAATTTTCTTTAAATGTGCATTGTTGTATTGCAAATTACCTCTAAAAATGAGGATTAGTGCAGATGCTGGAAAACCAGGAATTTTGCTTTTATTATTATTATTATTATTATTGCTTTTATATTCATCAAATTTATATCCACTATCTCACCAAAGGAGACATTGGATGAGTTTAATTTTTTAAAACTTTTGCCCCATTCCTATAATGTACAGCTAGGTTCTCCTTCCTTTTTTCTATTAATGATTTAATATTTATTTATTTATTTATTTATGAGACTTATATACCGCTTTAAGTGCAAGCACTCTCTAAGCGGTGTACACCAGTAAGCAATGTATATGTATATTTACATTGCCCCCAACAATCTGGGTCCTCATTTTACCTACCCCGGAAGGATGGAAGGCTGAGTCAACCTTGAGCCGGTGAGATTTGAACCGCTGACCTGCTGAACACAGTCAGCTAAAGTGGCCTGCAGTAGGGAAGTTATTACTATCACAAATCAAGTCTGCATGACTTTTGAAGAAATTAGGTCATTTAGACTTTGCTCCTGTGTAATATTTTCTAGTTCCATCTTCTTTACATACCAAAGAATGTTAGCTTCTTGAAAGTGCTAGAAGTGCTACAATGAGCTAGTGTTCAAAGCTATCCTACAGATTTTAAGCTAGTAATCAATATTATTTTACAACTTCATATTTCATTGTTGGACTTTCTATCCAATTGTTTTAGTGCAACCTAAAAACCTATTTTGCACTAAATACAACTGGCATGGAAATACTGTTTCTAGCACACTACAGGATTTCTATCACAATATCCAGCTCTCCACCCTATTTTCTACATCTATTCTTGAAACTACATTCCCAAAGTTCCATGCTTAGGACCTAGTTTGACTTTAACGTGCCTTATATGAAATGCAGAAAAAGTTTGGACTTCAATCTCAAGTGAATAGGATGGATAATTGTGGCTAGCCAAGGCCCTATTAATTTTATTGAAACTTGCAATATGACTAATTGGGATATGGTTATGTCATGTTTTATCATTTAATGTTTCAGAGTTAAGATTATTTGCTTCAGGTGCCTTATGGATCACATTATTTCAAGCAGGAACTTGGGAGAATTCCCCAGTTATCATGTGGGCAGTTGTTGAGTACCTGGTGCTCACAGGCAATAGGGAATGATGCAGACACTACTCTTGATCAGCCTCTCTCTATTGGCAGATGGCCCCCTAGTGGACTGAGGAGCTCCTGGTAAGTGAAGAGGCCAAAGTAATGTCTAGAGCAGTGGTTTTCAACCTGTGGGTCGGGACCCCATTTGGGGTCGAATGACCATTTCACGGGGGTCGCCAAACAACAAAGTCCGCCATTTTTTTTCCTTAGCTGTGCTACTCCCTTTTATTCTATTGGCTTTTGAAAGCCAATAGAATAGACTCTCTTGAATAGAGTCTAATTCTATTGGCTTTCAAAAGCCAATAGGAATTGTCCAGGCTGTCTCTGCCCTGCTGAGCCCGCCAAAAGTCCCATTCTGCAAACAGTGCTGCAAGTTGTCTGCAGCGAAGGCAAGCTGTCTGGAAGTTTCCACCCCTCCCTGCTGAGCAACTACTAAAAATGTAAGTAAAAGAGGGCCAGGGGTGGGAGGTGGGGGGCTGGTGGCCCAGCCGGTGGTCGGCCTGCGCCGTCTCTGCCGCTTGCCAGCTACGCCTCGGCCGGCGCAGGGGGCGGCACCATGCATGCGTGGCGCTCCCGGGCAGGGAAAGTCCTCAACTTACGACCGGTTGGGGGTCGCGACATTAAAAAGGTTGAGAACCATTGGTCTAAAGAGCATGAAGAGGAATTTATTTTCCTCTTTGATTGTGTTGGTGAGCTGTTGGCCAGTGATCTTGTTTAAGGTAACTAGCTCTCTTCTTGGGAGATGGTGGAAGATAGATTTTCCACCCAGCTACTAGGACCAGTTTGCATAGTACATTATACATAAAAGTTAGGCATTAAACATTCAATTTCCTATTTTTTTAACAGTTTTTTCCCAAATTTCGTGTCTCTTCATGGGTGGAACAAACAAATAATTCCATGGTAAGCATCAATAAGCTTTGAATCTGGTTTACCAGATTCTTCAAGTTAACAGAAGCACTTTTATTTAGACATTTCCCATATTTTATCACTTTTAAAAAACAAATATTCCAATGGGTATCTCCGAAGGACAAAATAATGAAGGAGATAAAACATTGTCAATATCAAATACAGCCCACAGATTCATCTATCCTACTATAATAAAATGCTAATAATTAGGCAATCGAGAAAAGCTATAAGCTCTAAGAAAGATATCTAACAGCTAACATAAGATGACATTGGCAACAGATACCTTGACAAGATTAGTGTACTTTTTAAAATAACTCTTCAGTTTGAATTCTTCCAAATGCATTCATTTTTATATTTTAAAAAAAATCAGATGTTACCCTAGTCATAAGTTCTGGCATTTTTACAAAAAAAGCTGCATACAAACCTTCTTGATTTGCTGGCACCAGTCACTGAAGTCGTCTTCTTTTTTGCAGAAGAATCCCTATAAAGAAAAGGCAATAGTTTTATTATTCTAAAACAGATTCAAATTAAGAAGACTCCTATTAGATAAGTCAGGGGTCCTTCTGCAGCATTCAATATTACAGAGTGACCAATAGGTCTATTTGGAAAGCTCACAAGCTTGGAGGGCAATATGAATTCCCGGTAACTAACATTTAAGGCCTGCTGCCTGTGATTCAGCAGATAATAAATAACCATCCACATTAGAAGACACTGATAGCCTGATTGTCCATCAACTTGACCAGGTTTCCTCTAAAACCACCCCAATATATTGCCATTATATTAACAGGGAGAAAATTCCATATTTAGTTAGATTCTGTATGAAATTATGTCTCTCCTGAATCTCCCTACATTACATTTCAATGGATGATCTTTACTTGTAATATCAACACAATATAAACAATATGGCATCTGACCATTCATTACACAACATGTACAAAGATTTGTCTAGGATACCTGTCTCTCTTCTGTTACATTGTAATCTGAAAGCCTCAACTATTGTAATCTGGAAATAATTATTTCTCATGCTTCAGAACAGGAATATATCTAATCTATGCAATGAAAAGGGAGAGCACAACATTATATCTTCATAAAGAGAGGAATCAGTAGCTAACTAGAGCAGGGGTCTGCCACCTTGACAACTTTAAGGCTTGTGGACTTCAGCTCCCAGAATTCCTCAGTTGTCAAGGTGGCAGACCCCTGAACTAGAGGATTGTCCAAGATCATAGCACTCCCTTGATAGGAAAGTGAACTTCAGGTATGCATACTCACTACTGCAATAGAAGGATCCAGTTCTGCAATGCTCATTCTGCAAGGCGGATGCTGGCAATGAAAGCTTTCATCAGAGATGTGGTAACTGTCTACAAGTTCCACTGCAGGCTGAGTAGTATGCGGGTCAAGATAGATTAGTTCTTCACCTAAGCAAAGATCAATGGAAAGATCAGTATCTATAAGCTCCTTAATATTATCAGTAAACTCTACGCGAGACATATCCATGGGAAAGTTACAAGAGTACCTGCAGAAGAGCAAGCCGCTTTGGAGAAGGTCACTTTACAACTGACCAATGCCTCATACTTGAACATCTTATTGAGAAATAGAGCCCCTTGAGAGTAGTATCTCTTCCCTGCCTTTATCTTGATTCCATGTCTCAGACAAAACTATCATAAAAGGTGTACAATACCATCACTGATCACTGACTGTTACTTCTTATTCATGAACCATGAGAAAATATCATTCTAATGCTATATGTTATGTGCAAGGATATTTGGCAGTACCCATTCCAGCTGCCAAGGCTGTAAAACAGAACTGCATGTCAGCACCCCTTGTATTTAAACTCTATTTAAATGAAGTGGTAGATTGGCTTGGCAATCTGAATTTCCAACCAGCCAAACATAGAGAGGCATATTGCTATTCTGTTTATTTATTCAGTCAATTATTCATTCAGTTAGAATACTTGGTAGAACAAGAATAAAGCTGGAAGATACCTTGGAGGTCTTCTAGTCGAGCCCCCTGCTCAAGCAGGAGAACCTATACCATCTCAGACAGGTGAATATCTAGTCTCTTCTTAAAAATCTCCAGTGATGGAGCGCACACGATTTCTGGTTGATTGTCCTGTCAGGAAGTTTCTCCTTAATTCCAGGATGCTTCTCTCTTTGATCAGTTTCCAACCATTGTTTCTCGCCCTTCCCTCTGGTACTTTGGTGAACAACGTGACCCCATCTTCCTTGTGGCAGCCCCTCAGATACTGGAATACTGCTATCATGTCTCCCCTATTTCTTCTTTTCTTTAGACTAGCCAAACCCAAGTCCTGCAGCCGTTCTTCGTATATTTTAGTCTCTAGGCCTTTGATGATCTTAGTTGCTCTTCTCTGAATTTTTTCCAAACTCTCAACATCTTTTTTGTGACATGGTGACCAAAATTGGCTGCAGTATTTCAGGTGTGGTCTTACTAGGGTTTTATAAAGCGATCTTGATTCTATGCCTCTGTTTATACAACTCAGGATTGTATTAGCTTTTTTGCTTGCTACTGCACACTATTTATAGTCAAGTGATCGTCCACTAGGACTCCAAGGTCCCTCTCACAGTTGCTGCTTTTAAGCCAGGTCTCGCCCAATTTATACTTGTACCTTTGATTTTTCCTGCCTAAATATAAAACTTTATTTTTCTCCACATTGAAACTCATTTTGTTGGGTAGGACCCATTGTTCAAGCTTGTCTAGATCTTTTTGGATCCTGAGTTTGTCTTCTGGGATGTTGGCTACTCCGGTCATCTGCAAATTTGATGAGTTCCCCTTCAATTCCCTCATCTAAGTCATTTATGAAGATACTGAAGCAGTAATCCTCTCAAGGACCCCTATTGGACTTAAATGCTTTTGTACAACTAAATAAAAAAGAACCAACTGGAAATTAATTACAGTGCCCCCCCAAAATTACTGCATTTGCCAATTGACCCAAAAGGTTCTCCAAGTCTATCAACAACAATGCCACTGAACAAGTGCTTTGCTTTAAATACCTAGCAGAAGTCCTCCAAGATAATGGAAAGAAAATGGCTGATGCTAATTATGTTACACAGAATGCACATAAAAGCGCAGTGGATATTTTAAGATTTTACTAGTAAAGGCCAATATAAACGCTTGCAAGCATCTAGCATAATTACTATGTGGGGCACAGTTTGGAACATTCTTCAATCTTTCTTCATTGGAAGAAATCCAGTCCAAATTTCTAAGGGCAATTTTTGAGTCCTCCACTGTATCTCTAATGCATATGGGGCTGGAATGGCAAGTGTGGAGACCAGAATGTGCAGACCACATTAAATTACTGGCTGAAGTCAACACTTCTTCCATCAGGCTTAGGACAGATTTCAAAGCAAGTAGAACCAAGCAAATTCACAAGTTTTTGCTCCTATGACTTTCACTTTGCTACCTAATTTTATTTAGGTTATGAACAAGTAAGAGCAACATTTAAGAAGCAACTGAACCATCAAATCAATGCTGTTAATACTTCTGTTTCTTATGGCTAATAAGAGATATATGAAATATTATGTAAATGTTCTAACTCAGAGAAGGGTTTTCACTCCAGTCTTATGTAATGCTCTCCCCTCAGCATTGCTAGAAGAAAGATGTAAGCAAATACTGTATCTGCCGTGACAATGCCCTTGGACGCAGAATAGGTTGAAGCATGTTCTCCTATATTGACATTTCTGCAGTACTCTTATTCCACTTTTGAACAACGTAATAGGATTTACTAACATGTGCAATTCCTGCTTTCTGACATTGTTCTGGCAGTTATTGAGTGAATCATTGGTTGTTAAATGAATTTGGCTTCTACCATTCCTCATCAGAAGTCAACTGGGAAAGTTACAAATGATGATCACATGATCCCAGGACAGTGCATGCCAGTTGCCAAGTGCCCAAATTTTGTTCCCATGACAACGGGGATGCTTCAACAGTCTTTAAGTGTGAAAGATAATCATAAATCACTTTTTTGCATGTCAATGTAAGTTCAAACAGTTACTACCGTGTTTCCCAAAAAATAAAAATCGGTCTTATATTAATTTTTGCTCCAAAAGATGCATTAGGGCTTATTTTCTGCTTAGGGTTTATATTCTGGGAAATTCAGTTCTAAATGCCCCCGTCTGGCTGACAATCTTAACTCGGACTTATTTTGGGGATAGGGCTTATATTACGAGCATCCTGAAAAATCATGCTACGGATTATTTTCCAGTTGGGTCTTATTTGGGGGGAAACACGTAAATTTGAGGACTACCTTCAATTGTGTGGATGTAATTCTGTGTTACTATAAAACTTGTTATATAATCTTAAAAAGTCTCCAAAAGCTAAAGATTGTCAATCCACTTTATCATAGTACAGGCTGAAAACAAAATTCAATATATTTTTGCATGCTCATGTAAGAATAAAGAAATTACCTTTTTACAGATCAAAGTTTGAGGGTATATAGATTTTAGAGATGACTATGTTTGAACAAAAACAGATGTTTCCTACATAATATAAACAGAAACTTAAGACTCCCCAGGGTGCATCCTCTTAAGAAGAATGCTTGAACATATGTCAATAAATAGCACTAAGCCTTGATCAGCCTATCTTGGCTCACAGCAGCTGGTTTGCACTTGAGAAAATGGTTTGAAATATCTTACAGACCATACTCATTAATACCGGTATATTCAGCATACATGCAGCTTAAACTTACCAACATATCCAATGAAATAATGAGCACTATTGGGTTTTCCTCCAATCACACCTAACGACTGAGGCATCATAAAGCAATGCTGGAAAGTAATTAATGCACAATTAAGCACAGTGGAAAACAACAGCATCACAATAAAAAGCATTACACAGCTATTCAGAATAGTTCTTTTATACCTATCCACTGAACATTCAAACAAGTTAATTCAGCACTGGCCATTTTTAAGACAAGAAACCAAAGGGGGAAGTCATTTACAGTGCATAGTTTTCATAAAATAACAGTGTCAAAGCTACTTTATATAATTACTAAACTCCAACAAAGGATGACTGACAATGGTAGTATGAAATGCTTGGCTCCCTACACACAATACCCACCAGCACAATTCTATACACAGTATTTACTCAAAACTAAGTCCTATTCTCAGGCAAATGTTTATACAAGTTTGTAGTTTAATCATATTAATTAGTCAGTGAAGAAGCAATTGCTCAGAATTAGCTCAGAGAAAAATATATGCCCTTGAATTATTAAATAGAACTAGGATGATCACAAATGTGCATTAGGCACCTGCATATACAAATCACTGCAAAAGCAGTAAAACAATTCTATCCATTCAGAGTGAGCTGCTCTAATGACCGTTCTGGATAGCACAGTTGAACATGGAGATCATATATTTCAGACATTCTGAGCTTATAATGAATTTAATCTTGGCACACTATTTCTGTTGTATGAATATGGTCCACAATTATGAATATTAAAAATGCATACACCGAACCACCCGGTTTCAGATATCCAGGTAGTTAAAATTATTTTATACCTTCAGTGTTTCAATATAGGCTTCATTGATGTCTGTGAGACCAAGGCGAAGAGGTATCAGCAGCACTAGTGGCTTCCAAAGCAATAAACAGTCTGTAGATTCATCTCCATCTGGATAACCATTAGAAAGAAAATCTGATTCTGCAGAAGGAAATGCTGAGGCTCCGGGACATGGAGAGTTGGGCTTGCATAACCTTCCTGCCAAAAGATGAAAAATAAGCAGAAAGAGCCTTATGCCCATATAGTCTAATTTACTGTTGACCAGCAAATAGAACTACATACAGTACATCTACCACATATTACTTACATCTATTATTGCTAATATAATTTTTATTTTATTGTACTGGAAATATTTATAATCAACATTTCAAAGCCTGGAAGCAGGTTCTTCCACACATCTGTTGCTATTCTATCATAAAACTGCAGAAGTAAAACTTTATTTTTCATAAGTAGAAAAGATCTGAATATTCTAGCTTTGAGAGCTCAACAATTCAATTTTTTCCAGATATAACAGTAAATACTTAAATATAAAATTGCGCTATTTCCGAAATCCACCTCTAACAACAGTACCAATAAAAACTTACTCAAACCAATCTATTAGAGATATGATACACTGCAACAGGATCCTGTAAACCTAATGTCTTATGGCTCCTAAACCCAATTATCTTAAAAACCATATCCCTTCAACAATAGGCACATACTTTTATAAACAGTTCAATGATACTTACTTATTTCCTCTATCACAACAGTGTTGTCCATGGCTATGTGCACTGCCAAAGAACTCCATGTATCAAATGTGGCAAGTTTTCTAAGGATAAAAATTAAAGACAGACATTTAAATGAATAAGGTGCACATTAAAGACAGACATTTAAATGAATAAGGTGCACATTAGAAAGTCACCAAGGGCAATCATACCATCCGGGACAATATCAGTGAATCAACCCAACATCCCAAGTTTTAATCTGTCATATTTTTAATAAAGTACACAAAATGATAAAAAGTTATAAAGAGAATTTAAATATGTATTACAAATTACCTGCATTCTTCTTTTCCATACAATTTTATAATACTTAATTTTTTATAATTTTGACCAACACAGAAGAAAGAGCTTATAGAGAACAGGACTTCCCACCTATGGTTAATATATTGTTATAGTCATTCAAAGTACCTTGACTCCTGATGAGATGCTGCTTTCTTGGCAGTATTTTGAAAACGGTTTCTCAGTACCTTTTTTTTCCCCCAGAACTCAATTCTCCCTATTTCTAGTCTAGCGTTTTTAACTACTATACCAAATTTGTTCTATTTGTAATGCTATCAATATTTATTTATATAGTGCAATTGATGTATATAAAACTTTTTTAAAAAAACAGAATAATTATACTCTTTCAAGGGTCTTTTGAGCTAAAAATATTGTTTTCTTCATTAGACAAAAACTTATTTCCTGCTTATGATCTTTGTGTGTGTGTGTGTGTGTGTGTGTGTGTGTGTGTGTGTGTGTGTATGATGCTGAATCAGATAAGTGTTTGGCCTGAACAAGCAGGTCACAGAGAAGGGGTGAGAAAAACAGGCAGAAGAAAGGTATAATCAATATTATAGGAGTTACATGAACTTAATTTTAACATTTCAGTACAATATTGAGTCTCAGTGGCTTTTCTAAAATTCTTGGAAATAGTGAACTATATGGAATATACATATTGGTAGCATTTGAAAAGCTATTCATTCTATAAATTGCCCAGACAACTATGTTTCAAGGCATGATATAAAGGGAAAGCTAAACATAAACATATAATTGGCATAATAGCTTGCATAAATTCCTCTAGCATGAAGACAGAATAAATGAACATCATGAGACAGAAACTCTAGTGATATCCAATTAACGGTCTACAAGAAATAGTATCTCAGTATATTGATGACAATTAGCTCAAACTGTGAATTATCTTTCCAGCAGTCTTCATGTTGGCACTAATATAGAAGACAAAATTGAATCTTCTGAGCCCCTCCCCCACAAATAGGCCCATTCCCAAGGAAAACCTTACAATACAGTATCACTTTATTTCCTCCCAGAGAGACTGAAACGGAAGTACCAGATGGAACTTTCAACCTCCAGCTATCATAAGCACTCCAACAAGTTACTGTGGTCAACAATATCAAAATTCACAGAAAGATCCAATAGAATCCTATTCCCTCTCTCTCTTTCCTAGTACAGAATATCCAAAAAAAGTGATCGAGACCATCACCACATGTAAACCGGAGACGAAAGGATCAAGGAAAACTATCTCATTTAATATTCCTGAAATTACAAGGCTACTGTCTTCTCCATCAGTTTGTCTTAATATAAAACTAATCTATCGTTGTCAGGATAGAACTGCTTGAGGCTGAGGAACGTTTTTCTAGGCAAGTAGTAATATTAACAGAATGAAAACCTGTTATCGACTTCCTCACAAAACAAGTAATGAAACTAATTCAGACAGATATTAATAGATAGTGTGATAAGATTCTCTAGGTATAGCTCTACCCTAAGTAACATTAAGCCTAGCACAAAACCGAGCAAATATGGCTGCAAAGAATAATACAATTGCTGAGGGGGGTTCGGGGCACAAGCTAGAACATCTGGAAAATTGGTCAACTACCCACAAACTCTAGAAATCTCCCATGGAATTTAATATCTAGACATAGAATTTTGGAAACATGCAGAGTAGAAATTCAACTTTAAAATTTCTTTGGGGTAGGTAGTTATTTAATTGCTTTATTTTATATCTAAAACCATAACTGTTGGAGCTACTGAATACTTACTTGAGTACCTGTGCAACTGTATTTGGTCCATACCATTGGCCTATGGATTTGCCTTCTCCAACTCCCATCTGGGCTGCAACAAACACATTATAATTGCTCCATAGTATCATTCAGGATTACTTCTTAATCACTTACAAAACTTAATTGGACAAGTATTTAGACTTCTTAAGAGTATTGAACTAAAGTCCTATTAAAAATGTGAAATATTTCAAATTATAACTTACCTACCTAGCAGAGAACACTGGAGAAATGTACTACAGTAATTTTTTGGAAAATCACACATAATTCATCAGGGAAAATCTTTCTACCTTGTCTGGAATACGAAATCCCCCTAAGGCTTCAAAACAAGAACAAATAATTCCAGGCATATTAGTCTATTGCAATGTTTGTCAACCTTAGTAACTTTAGGAAGTCGGGATATCAACTCCCAGAATTTGGGAAACTGAAATCCACACATCTGAAAATTGCCAAGGTTGAGAAACATTGATTTATTGCCATCCCTTGCTACTATAAAATCGTTATGCTCATTAGGGCAAAGATTTTTTTTTTCTTGGGGAGCATTTAAAAATCTGATCTCTGAGGCTGCAAGCAAAATGTCTGGCGAAATGATGATCTTGCTGAGGGAACATAGCTGAAAACTGTTGGCCTTTTTCATTTGTTGAGATATGGAAGAATTTTAATGGTTGGAAATATATAGGTGAAGCCTTGCAAAGATGTAATTCTTTAAAAAGTGAAAAAAAAAGTAGTAATACCTTATTTTGCCATTTTTGGTGCAATCTGGGGGCTATACATTCCAGATTATGAGTTTTAATGTGAATGGCTCATTCTGGTGCAGGACAACAACCTATTCTGAGAGATGTTCCCACTGAGTAGAAATGCAACTTCTCTCTTTAGTATCCAACACAGAACATGTTTTCCTGTATTCTCCATTAATTCCTTTAAGATAAAATGCCATCTTTTCTCATTATGGATCCTTAAGTCCTTCAGTCATTTATTTCTCTTCGTGATTGCTAGTAAAGTTAAAGGATTCTGCATCAGATAAAAACATATCTAAAACTAATGTCTCAACAGATTTTTTCAAAAATGATTCTCACAGCAAGAGATTATTCTCCATAGAGAGAAAAAACAGACAAAATTGTGACAAAAAAGCCTTACATAATAGAAGTCACTTCGGCAAAATTATTAAATAGCTATTGTGAACAAATTGCTAGTTTAAAATGAATCTTAACTAAAATGTCTTGCTGTATCTTTTTCAAAGAAGACTTTATTATCTAGAACTAAGCATCAAAGTAAAGGGGGGAAAAGAGGGATAGAAGGAAGGAGCTTGCATGTCGTAAGAAACTAAGAAAAAGGGGAAAGAATATAATAGATCTGAAGGAAGGAGGTCTGATATTGTATAGGGAAATGGTAAAAAAGTACAGACTAGGAAGGGAAGGGAAGATTTGAATGGACAGAAGAAATAAACTGGCAATTTCTGGTTACTGTACCTAGATGTATATGAAAGTAATTACATTATTATTTCTTTATTAAACAAAGTTTAATAAACTTTAATAATATGACTACTCATCTAGCAGAAAGAACTGCAGTAGCAAAAAAAAATTGCAATACTATGAGAGTAAAAAAAAAAAACATTTAAAACAAAAAACAATGTTGTGGCCCCAATAAAATGCATCCATTAATAAACCACCCCATATGAGCTGAATCAACATATTGGCATCAATGCCGGAATGGGGAAAACCATGTTCCCCCTGCTTTCCTAAAGGCCGCCAGAGTTGGGATCATCCATATCTCTGGAGGGGAAGATGTTCCCTAAGACAAGTACCATCGGGAATAATCTGGTCCTAAGCTAGGCGGGGATTTAAAAGTGACATCAGCACTTTGAATTGCACCGGAAGCCTGCTGGGAGCCAGTACAGCTCATACAAGAGAAGTGTTACGTGAGTATACCACCTTGCACCCACCAGCTACAGCTTTGAAATCCATAGATTAGTAGCAGTAGAGTATTTTACTCCAATGAATGGTGACAATGGAAGAGGCAGGAATGAGTTTTAGGAAAAATGAATGAAATTATTTTGTTAAGTGACATGAATGGATGGGTGGGAATAAAAGAATGCAAAAGGAACAGGCAACTGGGCCATTTGGAGACCAAAGAATGAATGCGAATAGTGGCTATTTAGCAAGTATTTGCTTAGGAAAAAGTTTGTTTCAAATGGATAGTTTAAGGCAGAAGGCTATTCATGCATGACTGATTTTATTAGATTGTTTATGGTGAAAGATTAGAGAATGAGTGAAAGATAGAATGGTGATAAAGAGATTCTGTATATAAGGCAAACCATTTTTTATTGTGTCAGGAAGGAATCTTTGGAGACAATGGTCAAGAAATAAAAGAAAAACAGTGGAAAAAACCAATGTACCATGACTGAGGAAAAGAAATGGAATTCATTTCTAATTTGTATAGCAGTTGGCTTTTATACAATTAAGTTTTATTCTGAAATGTCTTGTTCCTAGATAATAGCAATAGCACTTAGACTTATATACCACTTCACAGTGCTTTACAACCCTTTCTAAGTGGTTTACAGAGTCAGCATATTGCCCACAATAATCTGGGTCTTCATTTTACTGACCTCGGAAGGATGGAAGGCTGAGTCAATCTTGAGCCAGTGAGACTCAAGCCTGCAATACTGCATTCTAACCACTGCTCCACTACGGCTCCTTAACCTAAATAACCTAGATCAGTGGTGGCGAACCTATGGCACGCATGCCAGAGGTGGTACTCAGAGCCCTCTCTGTTGGCACGTGCGCCACCGCCGCCAGCAGCAGGTCCATCAGGCTGCCGCCGCCACCCAGAGCAGGAGCCCTGCCTAACACAAAGGAGGCAAAGCGGCCGACTAGCAAGCTTGAGTAGAGGTGGTAGAGCAGAGGTTACCAACCATTGTCGATTGGTGGACTGGAAGAAAAGGGAGGGGGAAACATTTTACATGCGTGCATGCACGCAAGGGGCCACGAGCATGCACGCGCTGCAAATGGGGTGGGGTTAGTGCCTGCGTGATACTCGTTAGCCCTGCTCCGTTCTTGCATGGTATCTGCACCCCGCGGCCTTGCAGCACAGTGGCCCATTTTTGTGCCCCCCGGTTTTTGCATGCCAGAGGCAGCACTAGTTTCTACATTACTGTTTCCCTAACTCAATTTCTAATAATAAAACAGATAGTAATTTATACTATATTTGCAAATGGACATATTCTCATATGGAAACATGAATTTTAAATAGGCTACCTAAACTAATAAACTCAGAACCTTTCTACTTCTATTAAAGAGGAAGATACAGATTGAAGCATTTGATTGCCCACAATGCTGGTAATCATCTTACCTATTTGGTGGATTGAGTAGTAACTGTCCTTTTTATCAATGAAAGCATTGAGAACATTGTAATAGTTGTCTATCTGTTTCTTCCCTTTCATCCACCTCCAATCTAAGAAACAAAAGGCAATGCTAAAAAAACAAAAGAAAATCAACTGCCACCTTTACATTTTCAAGGTATTCATACCAAAATAATCAGCCTGCTTTAAACAAATCCTTTCTAATACAAAAGATGGATGAATATGGTCTGAAACTGCTTGAAAAGATAACTTCAAATACAATCTGCATGTAAAATGACAAACATTTTTCTGCTATTTTTATTGTATTTCACAATCAACACTACCAATATTTAATTTCTATGGAAAAATGTATGTTCAAAATATAGTTTACACTGCAAGAAGTAAACTGATCTAATCATCAAACATATCAATTACCACAGCCCTTTTAGTCATGAGAAGAGTTGTCATCATATCTGTGCTGGTGGCACTTTCAGAGTGAAAGGATTAGCCGGTGACATCACCATTGTTCAGGAGATGCCCGATTGGAAGGCCTTTTCATGTCCCCATTAACGGGCCCATCAAAGTGGTACCTATTTATCTACTTGCGTTTTTACACACTTTGAAACTGCGAAGTCAGCTGGAGCGAATGATAAGAGCTTAATTACACAGCAGCACTCAGCATTTAAACGCAGACTTCGTGATTGTCAACCCAGTGTCCTAATTATCTTATTCCCATGATAAGAATTATAGATTTTGATGCTACCAAGGGGAACTGGAATATATGCAAATAGGCCTGCTTCAGTATGCATTCCTTTACAATGAAAAACACCTTTATGCCGGACCTTGTGTTGAACATACGGAGCATCCTGATTTTGCATTATAATTGTCACAGTAGTGCGACTTACCTCTGCCTAAATGCCTGCCAACCAAAGCCTGGGCAAAAATCATCTGGCCACATCTTAGCATACAACCCCAACCAGTGTCAGATGTCGGACCTGTTCCCCCTGCAGCCATAAACAGATAACACAAACCAAAATTTTTGACAATTAATCACTAATAATTTGAAGCATTTGAGTTTTATGATGTACCTGAATAAGATTGGGAGGGACGGGGGGGGGGACGGACAGAAGTCAAAATGATTGTAAATATAAATATGCTGCTCTGATGTTATACCCTTCGGAATATAAGGGAACATGCAACTACATACTGTATACAGGGTTATATCCTATTGAATGTGGCTAATACTTTGTTTCCTTCTCTTGTGTTGTTGTCTACTCATCAAGTCAGTAAATTAGAGAGGAAAATAAAAAGAGAACATAAATATACACAGTTTAGAAAAAGATGTTATTAAATATAAATCTATGTGTATATGGTTATAATTTTAAAGTTTCCTAACCATTTCAAAAAATATGATCAATTCCTATATATTAATACTTATAGATGAATAATTAAGTCCCAAAATATTAGACATGACATTTTTTAAATATGCAGCCCAAGTGCACTATGGTTATTTAAAACATGAATTTTACATACTTTTCAGCCTCTATGTTTATATGCAGGAACAACAACTATATGAGAATTTTAAGAAAGACAGATAAATTCTTTTCAAACTTGAAGACTTTTCTATTTTTATCATTTGCTTTTTAATCTTCATGCAAATAGAAAGGAAAAAAATAATTGATCTAAATTACGGGTGTCAAACTTGCTGCGTCATATGACGTGTCGCAACGTATCACGACTTTTTTCACATTGCCAGAGCTGGGGTGGGCCCGGCCTCTGCATGATGCAAGTGGCCCGTGGCCGACAATTTGACACCCCTGATCTAAATGATATAAAGTTTGAAAGATGGGTGGCTATACATTTTAAATAAATATACAACTCTGATTTTAAAAAAGAACACCTTTTTATTTTCTGCAATTTCCATCCTTCCATACTATTTTAAAAGTGGAAGAATCTTATTTTCAATAAAGTGAAAATATATTCAGAGGTCTGCAACAGACTATTAGCCAATGTTATTTTCTGAAACCTAGATATTGAGTACAAACTCAAATGTCAGGATGGTTAAGAGACACTAAATGGAATATTTATTTATGAAATTTATATGCCGCCCATCTCATAACCAGCGAATATGCCATACCAATATTTTAATTGGCTTCTTTAGGTTGTAAATGTAAATCTGATTTTTAGAAATAAATAAGCACCATTTCCACAACAATCTGGAAAATGAAAACTGGTGCTTACCAATGGCTGGAAAACCTTTTCTATATGTAAGCCAAAGACGAGAAGTGACATCCAACAAAATCTCTTCTTTCTCTGAAGGGATAAAAACAATGTTTCAATACACTTGCAGAACTTAGATTACATGATTTCAATAATAACTGTTAACTGAAATATATTTATTTTTAATTAGTCTTATTCAACATTTAAAGTTAAGAATAGCATAGCACAAGAGTCCCCAACTCCTGGTCTGTGGACTAGTACTGGTTCGTGGCATGCCAGCAACCAATCCACACAAACAAAGTCCCATCCGCAGGATGCAGGCAGCACACAAAACCACGCCCCTTCCGGTCCCCGGAAAAACCTCTCTCCACGGAACCGGTCCTTGGTGCCCAAAGGTTGGGGACCTCTGATATAGCACATATAAAATAGCAAACTTTAGTTTTTTGGGGGGATGGGAATAATTTAAGATTTTTTGGATTTCTCTCTCATATCAATAGGAAAGTAGAACACCATCTAGCATCTATTATCTGCAAAATACATGCTTTCTCTAAAAGGTTCAGCAGAAAGCAAAGTGTTTGTTAGGATGGCAGAGCTGATCCAGAATAAGATCAGGAAACTAGCCTACATGCATTCTAAGGCATATCAAATCAATAAAGAGACAGCAGACTTCAAGTCATGGTACAGAATCATAAAGCCCTTGAAATATTAGCAGAAGAAATACCTGTTAGTGCGCTGTATTTTCTTCCCAGGATCCAAACAGGCTCTTTGGTTTCTGGGAAGTCTTCGTACTCAAACAGGAGAGTATCGTAAGTGAGAGTAGCTGCTCAAAACAAACAAACAAAGCAGTCTCAAACACTTTTCAGGATCTGCCATTCAAAATTTTTAAAAAAGTTTTCTTTTTCAACAATGTTTTAGATGATGAAAAATAGCAATTATGTTCCAGGTTCTAACATCAAACAGCAGAGGCAGAAAATATTGTGATTTAATTAAACTAAAGCAATATTTTCCTTCCCACATTTTCTTAGACATTTTCTAAGATTGGGGAGGAGGGTTGTTAGATTACTGTAGGTCTGATCCAACTCTGTTTTGAAAATTAGCACATAATCAAATGCCAGTAATAACCATTTTCTTCATGGTATGAAGGAACTGAAAGACTACCCTTAATTTTTCATTTTTTATTCAGAGCATGCAGTGATCACATGATCATGCTTTCTACCAAAAAAGCATCACTCTGTAAAGCAACGATTCAGTACTATGACAACAATTTACATATTTACTACACTAAAACTACATTTGATTCCTTGCCTACCTTCAAGTGACCTTAATAGTAATTAAATGGGTTATTAACAAGAAGCATCAGACGGAACATTAACCTTCTACTTAGGCTCAAGATTCAATATTCTTTTCAGCATCTTTAAACATCAGGCACTGCCTTTCCAAAATCAAGACTGGTATAAATATGTGCAGATGTTCAAGCATAAAGGGCATGGGCTAGATGGGAAGTCTTCTTAATAATAGCACACATGCTTTAGAACAAGGCTTTTCAACCGGTGGTACGGGTACCACCTGTGGTACATTGGCACATGGCAGGTGGTACACGACCATCCTAGAAAAGTGGTAGCGGGGGAGAGGAATGAGCTGAACTGGTGGCAGCACCACACAAGCCTGAGCGAGAGATGGTTGGAGCTGCAGAGCTGTCAGGGCTCAGCGGAAGCGCCAGGATCAGTGCTTCTTTGGGACTGTCAGGGCTCAGTGGAAGTGCCAGGATCAGTGGCAGGCTCCAGCTGGAGCATGGTGCTGATCCTGGCCCTTCTGCTGAACCCAAACAAAGTACCGAGCAGCTGGAATGTTGCAGCATCTTCAGGGTCTTATGATTTACATTCAGATGTTTGACAACTGATTCATATTTATGACGGTCACAGTATCCGAGGGTCATGTGAAGTAACCAAAACCTGCAACCACCCAGCAGATGGGGGGAATAAAAACCAAACACCCCCATTCCACCCCCGTTGCCAATCCTCAACAGGAATGCTCACAACTTTGAAAACCTCAGACAGGAGGAAGAGCGCTGTCGGGTGGGCAGGCAGGTGTCTTGCTCAGCTGTGACTTGGGGGGCACTTTTTATAGTGCCATTATAACTTCGAACAGTCACTAAGCAAACTGTTGTAAGTCGAGGACTATCTGTACTTCATCAGTTTTTTCCTTTTGGGGGGGGGTCACCAAGTTTTTGACACCTTGCTAGGCGACTGGTGATACTCGGATGTAGCCATATCCTAAAAGTGGTACAATGGGTGAAAAGGTTGAAAAGCCCTGCTTTAGAACAAGTTTCTCCTTTTGCTATATTTGGCTCTTTTCATCCTTTCATTTCACAACCTCTTAAATGATTATATTCCACTCTGCCAATAAAGAATATTTGTAGCTCATTCCACTCTACTTTAAGCCCAAATTGACTGTGGGCATCTATTTGCTTCTCTGCTTTCAGAGATTAAAGTTTGTTGTCCTTAATTTTTTTTTAAAAAAAAAAAGAACTGAGAATCAGTACAGCGCTCTCTAATGTAAATCTACATCACATCCCTCTATTTGCCTCATAGTTGTTAAATCCAAAAATTACTGCCCAGATAACCCATTCAGTTCAAATTTCACATACTCTGCAACCTTGCCTTAGAGAACATCATGTCCCATACACCATGTGATTCAGAATGGCATTTAATGTGAGAGGTTCCAAGAAAAGACTGCTAAGCCTTTTTCCTCAGTCTAGTCATAAATATATAACAAAGTTCATTTTGCACTTGCTGTGAGGTCTCAAGTTTGTTGCATTCAATACACTGTTCACATGAAGTTAAAACATTATTAATACATATATTCCAACATTTAAATTATCATATCAGAATTAACACGGGAGATTAAATGGGAAATAAAAATAAAAACAGAAAAAGGGAATGTCAAATTTCAGGAGTGAACTTAAAAAACAAACTAATATTACTCAGCCATCTATATAATATTAACATAAGTTCAAATAAAGATGGAGAGAAGGAAGTTTATAAAGATTTATTCTGCTAATGGCCAAAACATAAAATGACTAATGAGATGGAAACAACTGTTAAAGGAGCCAAGCTGGACATACATTTATTTAAATATCCAAAACATATTTACTCAGAAGTGCATTCTATCTGGGCCTTATTCCCTAAGTACAGTATATCATATAGGATTGCAGTAACATTGTAATTTGATGGGAATAGTATTGATATATGGAAAAAACATGTATTTTATATGCTTTAGAATCAATTATCAATTATATATGAAATATCACTAAATAAAAGAGATTTTTCAAAATTCATTCTTTAACTAGAGCGCCAATTTAATGTAATAGTTAAGACAGTAGGCTAAAAACCAGGAGTTCATTAGTTCCAGTCCTGCCTTAGACACAAAGCCAGCTGGGTGACCTTGGGCCAGTCACACTCTCTCTGCCCTAGGAAGCTGGCAATGGCAAACCACTTCAGAAAAACTTCGTTAAGAAAACTTCAGGAAGTTTTTGACCAGGAAATCATCAGACTGATTTGAAGACACCAAATTAATAAACAAATAAATAAAAATCCTTCCAGGAAATCGTCAGGCTGATTTGAAGACACCAAATTAATAAACAAATAAAAATCCTTAACTATCACTTACTAAGATGTATTTGAGAGTTTCAATAAGAATTCAGTTTGGTGTAGACCTACTACAAAACACTGTACCTGTCTTCATAATCTTATTCAGACAGTAAAACCAAGTACAAATCTTTATATAAAATGCTATTTGTTTATCTCTTTGGGGAAAATCAAGAAATGGATGAAAAGAAGAGTATTACCCATTTGCCTTAGATTCTTAGTTTTTCCCATATGGGCTATGGCACATTGGTAGGCAGCATTAAAACAGCATTATTTTTCTTCCATCACATCTCAGGTCACTATAATTAATTATATAAGGAATCAGTGCATTCACTTTAACTACTTAAACAAGAACCTTGGGTCCTTATAAATGTTAGAAAACTTTAAGATTAGTTCCATACATCTAAGCACTGAATGACCAGCACTAAGCTTTATAAACCACGCAAAAAAATGGGTAGGCTGGACAACATATCTTAAACTTGACAGGCTTTGTTATAGTATAGTTGCCTCTATTAGAAAAGAGAAGACAAGACAAAGTACCATATTAGCCAAATTGCTTTAACAACTTCTATTGATCACAGTCATTGAACAAAGAAAAAAATGTAAGAAAACACAGTTCCCAAGGCAACATAACGGACCCTTCATCGACCTCTCCCTTTTAGGCAAGCCATGCTCACAGTTCCATCGACTAGCCCAGTCCGCAATTTAGCCCTCTGCTGAAAAACAAACCGACTCCTTCTTTTCCACACCCATTGCCCGCTACCTCAAATATAGAGAGCTGCATGTCGACCCACGCAGCTTTCCCAGTTACCCCCACCAAACATTTCCCCACTCACCCGCGTCCATCCTGCCCCCGCCCTCTCAAGCTCCGGGGGCCCACGGCTGTCTCCCGACTGACACAGATCTCCAAAGCGGCGCACTCTATACTTCTCATCCCATAGCGCTGCTCTCACCCAATCGCGGAATTGTTCACCATTCATTTAAGCGACGATTGGTTAGTTTCAGATGCAATGGTTTCTCCCGCTGTATGGCAGGTGCCATTTTGTTTTACGGAGAGAGCGATGGGTGAACAAGGTTACTTAAATCGGCCTTGCTTTGCTTCTGAAGCAGGAAAAAATTTCGTTAATTACCATTTACTGCTTTCCATCCCTCGGAGTAGTTTAAATGACATAGGGTATTTTCAGGAGTAGAAAGTAGAAGGGAGCCGCCATATTCTTGTACGGCGTATTAAACACCACCCCCTTGACCCAATATGGCGCTCTCAAGTAATTCGCAGCGTAGCGTGGTTTTAACAACATTGGCCCAACAACAGAGTAGCTATTCTTCGCTGCTTTTAGTCTGCCTGACAGCGAGTCAATCGGTGAGATGCAAAGGGGAAAAAAGGGAATTAAGGAGCGTTGCTGGTGGTTGTAAGAGCCGCTTCGCTCATATACTGTACCGCCGAAGGCATATGGGGGTGTAACTGAATGACAGCGTCTTCCGTACGGAAGTTACTTTGCAGGGTGTGGCGAGACAGCTGTGTGACTTGCTTGGCTTCGCCATCTTGTTGTACGGCTGAAGGGGGGGCGGAGAGGGGGTTGAGGCAGGGCCGCCCGTGCGGCCTCCAGCGATGGTGATCTGTTGCGCGGCACTGAATTGCTCCAACCGGCAGGGCAAAGCTGCCCGGGGCCGAGCGGCCGTCTCTTTCCACAGGTAACCAGGGGGAGGGAAAGGAGCGTTCGCACCTGCCCGTCTCCTGCTTCGTACCTCGACACGGGGCTTCTCGAGGCGCATCTTTTCGATCGGGTAGACCGACGCAGAGCTTTCCGTTTCTCTTCCGCTCGCAGTTCTGTGACTGGCTGATGCCCCTCGCGCTTGCCCGGCTGCCCCCTTCACGTACCTTTTACATTGGCTTCTGGGGAGTTGGACCAGGTTCTTTCTCTTTTGCCGACTAGCATTCCTCATTACGGGTCCCTCCCAGACAGGCCAAGTGAGCATCCCCTCAACAATAGACCAACTCCCCGCCCCCAACAATAGGGACCAACTTTACCCCCACACACAGAAGCCCCCCCCCACACACACACAGTAGCGCGCGCAAGGTCAAAACCCATTTTTTGCCTTTCTCATCCTTATTCTTTCACCCGATTCTTCTTGCCATCTGTGCACAGTTTAAGATAAAATAGTGAGAGGGCTGCAACTCCTGTGAAAATGACTGTACATGTTTTAAACTAAAAGTTGCTTTTTTGCTTGAGGGGGGAAGGCAAGGACTCTATACTTGCTTGGTTATAGTGACATCATCTCTAATCATCCACTGCCACTCTCCACCATAGATTTGTAGTTGAAGCATTCCAGTGTTAAGATGTGGTTCAAAGTTTAGCTCTGGTTTTTATTTATTTAGTTATTAAATTTCATATGTAGGACACTGATGCATGAGTAAGCAGTATTACTGTTGTTTGCAAGTTTACCTGTTCTGTCTTGTCTGAGTTTTGCAAGTATACACCCGTTGGAGAAACCAACTTTATTCAGTAGCAGATCTGTCTGTAGATGGCTTGCGGAGCAACCACTTTCATAAGGAGAAAACTGAGGATTGCTTTTCCTGTCACATCCTAATCTCTGATTTGCTCTGAGAGGTGGCATATTTGCCAATCCTTGCAAGAGATAGATTGTATTCTAGAAGTATCAATTGAATATTGATTGTTTTTTATCCAATATATACAATTGTGCGCAAATCCTTATTTAAACTAGAAAAGGAACACATTACAGCTATGAGAAAATAAGCAAAAAAAGTGACAGTACTGTTTAGTATACTGTTAATATAAAACAAGAAATGTCAACTCTGCATACTCAAGCAACTATGAAGGCATTCTCATTTTATTTATTCTGCATACAGCAGAAAACAAATATATGTTTATTGTTACAATGAATGGTTCCTAATTGGTGTTAAATGTAAACATTTTAAGAATTCGAACATTCAGTAGTAGCCATTATTTCCTACCTAAGATTAATTTTAAAAAATTAAAATGTGAAAGTAGTCCAAAGGTGAAAATATGCAAGATTAATTTAATTCAGCTGAAGAAATTTATATGAATTTAAGATAAGGGTTGGATGCTGGATAGTGACTCTGCTTAAAAGCATCAAATGAGCTGCATCTAAAAATTCCCAAGTATAATGCAAGGACAAAGTCTGGGCCCTGTTTGCTACTCAAAAAATATATTCCCTTTTCAGCATAGGAGTTTGATTCAATTATTACGAGCAGTGAGTATTCTTTGGGTCCCAGATTTTTCTTCTGCAATTGTTTTGTGATTTATTTTTCTGTGCATGTGAAATGAATTTATATTTCTGAAAAATAGTATAAATATATGCTATTTTAAAATATGAGTTGATTAGAAATGGTCATTGGTTTCTAATGAACTGAAGAAATCTATGGAGAGTTTCATGTGTAATTATTTGATATGCACTATAATTATTTTCGCTTGTCTCCATATTTTAAATAAGGTTTATAGTATTTGATTGTGTCAATTGTTTAGTTTCTGGGATCAAGGTGGGAGGGACTGATTATACATGGATAACTTCTTCAAGAAGTCTTTTCATTAATATCTTTTTCCTGTTTCCTTACTGTCGAACCTTGCATTGTTTCCCCATATAAACCTCTGATGCTATTGCTGGTTTCCATGCATTTTTTAAAAAACTGCTTTATTGAATAACTTTTTTTGCTATTTAGGACATGTTTTGTTCCTTGTTTTGAGGAAACTTTTCATTTTTGGAGAGGAGGTCTATGCCTTTCCCACCCAAATAAAATTTCTTTCTATTATATATTGTCAAATGAGTTGTGGAAAAACATCCATCTAAAAACACAATACAACCATCCCATTACATGGAACGTTAACCTCTACTTTAACATATTCAACGATGTGGAACACACAGTTCTTCTTACTAATTGATGCCGCTTTCAAACTGCTGTTATTGCTAAGAAAAAAGTTGTAAAATTCAATTGGAACATACTTTTCTTTGACTTTAATATATTATTTAGTGTATTAAGCTAAATGTTATTGCGTTCTGAAACGATGGAGAACAGGTTTAATCTTGTATGTGACCTCCTTTTAGATACTTGAATAGTGCTTTCATAATTTCTCTGTTTTTTTTTTAAACTAAACTGACCCAATTATTTCTTTCTTTCTTTTAGACTGTGATTTCTAGTATCTTAATAGTTATCATTGATCTTCTTTGAATATGTTCCAGTTTCTCTGAATCTTTATTAAAATATATCCATAATTGAACATAATATTTGAAGTGGGGGTATGACCACTCAAAATAAAGTGAAGCTATAATCCCATGATTTGGAGACGATTCCTTTTGTTGTAGCCTAAAGTGTTTGGTATCTCCTTGATGACTCAACCAGTTTACAGCATTATAGGAATTTCTCACATATAACGGAGTCAAGCATCCTCAATCTTTTATCTGAATATTTGATTGTAGTTTCTGAAGGGAACTTTGTGTTTGATTCTATTAAATTTAATTCTATTATTTATAGCCTGCTTTTCTAACCTAACAAAACCATTCTGAATATTTAATTATGTATTTCTGTATTAGCTATATCACCCAATTCTTTGTCATTTTTAGTCTGTAGTTCAATCATATGCAGTTAACGGAGCAAAAACCTTTGGGCATAAATTCACTTGGGATTAATGTTTGGATGATGAATTTTGTATTAAAATCTGATTGTTGAACCACTTTTTGGAAATGATTGTTTCATAAAAATAGCTATTGAATAGATCAAAATCGAAAACAGCTCAGCATCTTTATGAAATACTGGTTCTAAAAATGTAATGAATGCTATTTATACCTGTATATTATATCTAACGTTTTTAGAAGATTGAGGTTTTTTTAGTTTAACCTCATCAATGTATTTTCATGATTCCAAGAAAGAAAGAAAAAGAAATGTATATAGTAACTTTCTCTTTTTATACTTTTTCAAAGGTTTCCATTAAAGGATTCAAAGCGACTAATCCAGTGGTTGAAAGCAGTACAACGGGACAATTGGATTCCCACCAAATATTCCTTTCTCTGCAGTGAACACTTCACTAAGGACAGCTTTTCAAAACGGTTGGAAGACCAGCATCGGTTACTGAAACCCACCGCCATCCCAACTATATTCCATATTTCTGAAACAAGGGGCAACGGCAGGGGTTATGTCAGAAGGAAAAGAAAAATAATAACCCAGACTCTACAAAAAAATGCCAATCAATCAAATGAAGAAAATGGGAAAATAGATGAAGGAACCTTATCATCTGGTCAAGACTTGCTTGTGGAAGGAACTAATAAAATGGAGCACATGACTCTTCAAGCTGAAATTGGATCAATGACTGAGCAGGGAGCGAGTTTTCAGGTCCAACTTGAAGGTTCCCTTAGAAGGATGTTAGCAGATAACTTAGTTACAAAGGTTACTCAGAATAAGCCAGAAGCACATTCTATTGAGGACCATTCTGAAATGGTTATCCATCCAGGAAGTTTCAAAATTGATAAAAATGGTATATCAGAAGATGACTTCACACCTCCGGTGTCAGGTGCATGTAAATTTATTGGATCCCTTCATTCTTACAGCTTTTTCTCCAAACATACTAGAGAGAAATCATCATTTCCAAAGGAACAACTAGAAAGAAAAAGGTTAAGGAGAAGTGTGGAATCAAACTGTAGTAACAACCCTATGGAGCAGGACACTAGGTTTAGAGAAGCCTCCTCTACTTCTTCTCTTACTGCTATCCCCCAGAAATCTTCCCAAAGTATGTCTGCATCCCCTGCAGATCTGACCCCTAAACCAGCCGCAGAAGCTGTAGTAGGTCAGAAGGGAGAGACTGATGCCAACCTCATGTCAATCAATGAGGTCATCATGTCTGCTTCAGGAGCATGCAAGCTCATTGATTCCCTTCATTCATACTGTTTCTCCTCTAGGCAAAGTAAAAGCCAAGTGTGTTGTTTGAAAGAACAAGTAGAAAAGAAGAACGGA